ACCTGGGTTTTGGGCATGCTCAGGGTATTTGGTTAATTTGGACCAAATATGGGCGTGGCTGCCCCGCGAGCACCATTTGGCGGTTGGGGTCCGGGACCCCCTCAAAAGTTCGGTCACCGGTCCTAGTTTGTTGGTCAACTTGCTATCTCGAAACCAAGTTTCACAAAAAATTAGGGTGAACCCCCCCCCCCCCCCCCCTTAATCCGTTGTGATAACTTTTAATAAATAAATGGCTTATAGTTATTAGTTATTACGTAAAATAGGAGGGGGGTTGGGTCTTGATTACGGGGGGGGGGGGGGGGGGGGCAAACCTTGATTACGGTTGATTACGGAGGGGGGGGGGTAAAAATTGCCAAAATATTGATTACGTAATATGTGAACGACCCCATATCCTCGGTTCATGGAAGATCATTTTGAAAATGTGTGAAGACCTTCCCATCGGGCTTTCAAAACTATCCGAAAAACTTGGTGGATATCGGAGTCGATATAGTGATGAAAATTGAGCAAAAGTGTTGTTTTGAATCTAGTTTGAGCTGTGACATAATGTCTGATTAGATGATTGTATATGCCCCAAATTTTCCGGACAGTTACCTTGTAGTTGTAGGTCTATCCGTAAGTGTAAGGAACCTCGAAATCCTATATTTATTTCAATCTTCCTTTAACGTTAGTTAAATGACTTAGGCTTAACAGTCAACATTCATTTTCATTTAAGATAGATAGTAAATTGTTAACATTATATTAAAAGTATACCAGAAATGGAATATACGTTGAAGTTTAACTTTAATTAACAAAATGTCATTTTCTGTGAGAAAACTATTGAATAATTTGACTCGGTTGATGAGTTACTATGGATTTAAGGAGGGGTTTAAATAAGACTAAGAGCCCCAGACCAGCCAATCACAGACGAAGCGTGAAGATGAATGATTAGCAGCGGAGTTTAAACAATGATGAGCAATACCGATCTTGATGAACAATACTGCCGTTCCCTGAGAAAAATTTGGAACGGCAGAATAGACTCTTAATCTGGGAAATTCGGAGAGATATATAACGTAGAACAATCGGAGGACCGATATCTTTCTCGGGTCAGTGGGTTTCTCCGGTTTTAAGCCGGTTCCGCCCGGGTATGTTAAGCTTTCCAGTCATAAGTATTCCAGTAAGTTCCTTGCATTAAATTAATATGAGCCGTTCAAACTTCAAATTAGTATTTTGTTTTTTATAAAAGAGTCTGAAGTGATTTTTATATTTATATTGTTTCTATTCTATTTATATAGTGTCTATTCCCGTTTCCAATATCCTTTTAAATTCTATATGACTCACTGAAAGTAAATTCTATCCAGGTTGATCCGACCCGACACATCGTGTAGTTTCCCGGACAGTCCCCAATTCTATAATCTAAAGAACAGTGACTAATTAAGTGTAAAGACGTAAAATTATATGTTTGTTCACAATCACACAATGTCCGGTCAAATAACGTCCGATTAGGTAAACATAGTAACATACCATTTTCGTCAGCAGCAGCGGCCCCCCGCCCCCAAATGGAGATACTGATAGTCAGGATCAAGATGGTCAAGATGTCCTTGGTGCTGACCATTGTGAATGTGAACTCTTCGGAAAGCCAATAGTTCATCTTCATCTTGTCATCACACGCCTTCTTCGGACTCGATTGTGTGAAACTTTGGAGAGCTAAGGAATTGAACGCAAAGGCAAAGGGTTGAACATAGTTGTTGTGACCTTGGAGAGAGTTCGCTCTCAGTCTCATGGCTAATGCTAAAGAAAATGGTCCACATTACCATTAGGCCTGGACAGTACGTGCTAGCAATCCACCAATCGCGATCGTGAGTCTTCCCTAGCTCTCTCTGAGAGCCCTGGTTGGTTGGACGAAGTGCTAATGCTATTTACAGAGGTTACTAGCATAATATAGATCATAGTTTAAGCATCTGTTTCAAGAAAACGGTGTATCCACAAGAGCTCAGGCGGCTAGGTGCTGGTATTTATAAGCACGACCACGCCTCTTATAAGCTTATAGTTATACATTCTATACTATTATACTTTACTGTTCTTTCAGAGAGGGAGAGGGAGAGGGAGAGGGAGAGGGAGAGGGAGAGGGAGAGGGAGAGGGAGAGGGAGAGGGAGAGGGAGAGGGAGAGGGAGAGGGAGAGGGAGAGGGAGAGGGAGAGGGAGAGGGAGAGGGAGAGGGAGAGGGAGAGGGAGAGGGAGAGGGAGAGGGAGAGGGAGAGGGAGAGGGAGAGGGAGAGGGAGAGGGAGAGGGAGAGGGAGAGGGAGAGGGAGAGGGAGAGGGAGAGGGAGAGGGAGAGGGAGAGGGAGAGGGAGAGGGAGAGGGAGAGGGAGAGGGAGAGGGAGAGGGAGAGGGAGAGGGAGAGGGAGAGGGAGAGGGAGAGGGAGAGGGAGAGGGAGAGGGAGAGGGAGAGGGAGAGGGAGAGGGAGAGGGAGAGGGAGAGGGAGAGGGAGAGGGAGAGGGAGAGGGAGAGGGAGAGGGAGAGGGAGAGGGAGAGGGAGAGGGATTTTACAGGTTTGACTGATTTTTTCACCTGCAACCAATTAGTAAGTCAACAATAGATGCCAAATGACACGATTGAGGTGCTGGAAGTTTGATTTCGGTCGGAGGAAGCCCACAGCAGAAAGCTTAACAAAACGAAAGGTTGCATTTTCAAAATCCTGTCCCATTTTCAAATATGAAATTTTCTGAACACAAAATTGACAGATTGGATGAAACTTTTGCCCAGAAACCAATTAGTCAGTTAATTGATGATGGTATGAAACCAAATTGAGGTATTGAGGGTCAAAATCCCGAATAAAATTGCAAAATCATATTTTCCCAATATCTGTCCCATTTTCAGTTTTTGAAGATGAAATTTCCAGGACCGAAATTTTACAGTTTTGACTGATTTTTTCACCTGCAACCAATAAGTAAGTCAACAATAGATAACAAATGACACGATTTGAGGTGCTGGAAGTTTGATTTTGGTCGGAAGAAGCCCACAGCAGAAAGCTTAACAAAACGAAAGGTTGCATTTTCAAAATCCTGTCCCATTTTCAAATATGAAATTTTCTGAACACAAATTTGACAGAAACCAATTAGTCAGTTAATTAATGATGGTATAAAACCAAATTGAGGTGTACTGGGAGTCATAGGGCCTGTCGTGATATCATGGATCGCTTAGGTTCCACCAGGATCTGGTAGTCCTCATAATTCTGCGGCCTCTATGTTTCGTCATCTCGCACAACTCTTTAAGAATCTTGTGGATTTGGCATGTGAAAATTTGCAGCCTTCCAGACATTGATTGGGTTAACGAGGTGTCGTACGTCACCTCAAGATCGGGTGACAGGGGGCTGACCAGGCCAGAACCCAATTGATTGGGTCTTAGGTCACGTGATTATGAGCCTGAGGTCACGTGACTATGACGTCACCAGACCTTCCTCTCCGTTTCCCGCTCATTGGACCAGGTGAGCTTGCATGCATGTGAATGTGGGTGTAAGTATAGCTGTACTGTAGTTTATACCTAATTAAACCCCTATAGAAACCGAAAATTTATTTTCTGGCAGAAAGCTAGAAATTTACCAAAATATCGTCATTGTTTTAAATTTATTTTGATGACCATTCCTGACCTAAAATCGCACGAGAAATCGATTAAACTTGGTTTCAGAACTCAACAATGCTTCCTTATGCCTTAAAATCCATGTTTTATCAATACAATCAACATCTCGATCATGTAGTTAAACTTATTACTTAACGGATTCAAGTATAGTTACGCGGTAGACAAACTAAAACAAAATTGTAGGTTTATAACCTACCAGGACCTGCGCCTAGTTAAACTCGTCGAAGGTAATATTTGGAACAAATATTTTACGAGTATCACCCGTTAAATAAACTTATATGTATAAAAACCTTGTGTTATGTGGCAGTTGTATTGCAATTTGTGCAATTTCAGTTGGGCAGCTTTTTTTAAGTGTCTGTTATTTCAATTTTCGTAATTAATCTGGAAGTATTATCGGCATCTTTTCACACATATATGACTACTAGCACATACACAGTGGCCAATAAGCTGTACACAGCAGGGTTTCAGCGTAATAATCGATCTTTTAGAATGTTCTAGTTTGAGTGTAGAATAGCCATTAGAGCTGAGTGTAAGATTAGGTAGGATTAGTGTATAGCTTTTGGATGGTTTTGCGGAGTAAGACACGCGTTAGTAGGGTGCATTAGTTAACAATATGTGGCCAATTGCAACAGCTTATTCTACTGATAGAATATATCGACCAATGGCAGCAGTTTTAATCAAGATTACGCTAAAAAAGGCTGCTAAATCACGCAAGAAATGCAAGCATTATTTTAATCGTTACATTTTCAATTCGTTACAATTTTCCATTCAAAAATGAAGTTTTCCTCCCTTATTGGAGAGCCACTTGAGTTACCTCAAACGATTCCTTCGACTAGGAGAGTGCTTCAATTATTACTTCTTAGAAGTGACCAGCAACCGAAGGTACAGATTAACAGAATTCTGACCTTGGTGGCTGAGGAACTTGTTCAATTTTATGCTGAATCGGAATTATTGATATCTCTTAACAGTAAAGCCAACATCTTCAAGTATGTGGTTTCAATTTCCCTTGTAAATATTGTCGCTGAATATATGATCAAGCTATTAGATATATTATTACTTGCAACTTTACACGTGAATTTTTTATTCTTTTTGTTACAATTCGTTCGATATCCGTAGATTAAGACAGAAGTTGAGGGAGCGAGTGTGAGCATAGAACACGTATCAGCAAATTACGGACTTTGTTTGTTTATGATGTAACACTTATTTCATAGGTTATAGTTTCTTAAGTCTCAGTACATGATGTAAATAAAAAATAACACAATTATCCTCAGCAAAGAAGGAGTATGCCCGGGTAACCCTACCCCCCTTGCTACGTGGTCTGACGAGAGCCGCTATCATCTCCTATATAAGAATGCCTCTCAAAACGGCATTTGTCAACAACAATCAAGCCGTTGAGAGGCAAGTGGCTCTTATGTCAACCTGTGGTAAGAAGGTGGTAGGGGAGGATAGGAAGTCTGGGCAACAAATTGCTGTCGCAGAGCACAGACAGCAAACGAAAAAGCAGAAGAAGTGAAGGTACAATAAATCAGATATACTGTATTTCCTAAGTGGCTCACAGGCAGGAGCTCAACCATTATTTCTTGAATTGTCACAAAAAACGTCTGTAGCTTAACTTAATTTCAGATCACATCAATCATTATAATGGATTATAAATAATGCTAAACATTAGCCATATTAACTGAAGAGTATTATGTAGGCTTTAATAACAACCATATAATGCTTTATATCCCACACCCAAGTAACGGAAATGCAATTGATGTTAACCTGTCGACAATATTTCAGAAAAGATTCCCGCAAGCAAGCATGTTCCTTCGTTCTGCTCTGATCTTTACTCTGTTACTAACTGATGATGGACTTTGATACGATTCGTTGATATGATTTTTTGACGTATTGTATACAGCTTGCACTTAACCATATGGTTCAGACAAAAGGACAATTAAACTGGTGTTTTGTTTTTAACGGGTGATACTCGTAAAATATTACCTTCGACAAGTTTAACTCGGCGCACGTCCTGGCAGGTTATAAACCTACAATTTTGTTTTAGTTTGTCTACCGCGTAACTATACTTGAATCCGTTAAGTAATAAGTTTAACTACATGATCGAGATGTTGATTGTATTGATAAAACATGGATTTTAAGGCATAAGGAAGCATTGTTGAGTTCTGAAACCAAGTTTAATCGATTTCTCGTGCGATTTTAGGTCAGGAATGGTCATCAAAATAAATTTAAAACAATGACGATATTTTGGTAAATTTCTAGCTTTCTGCCAGAAAATAAATTTTCGGTTTCTATAGGGGTTTAATTAGGTATAAACTACAGTACAGCTATACTTACACCCACATTCACATGCATGCAAGCTCACCTGGTCCAATGAGCGGGAAACGGAGAGGAAGGTCTGGTGACGTCATAGTCACGTGACCTCAGGCTCATAATCACGTGACCTAAGACCCAATCAATTGGGTTCTGGCCTGGTCAGCCCCCTGTCACCCGATCTTGAGGTGACGTACGACACCTCGTTAACCCAATCAATGTCTGGAAGGCTGCAAATTTTCACATGCCAAATCCACAAGATTCTTAAAGAGTTGTGCGAGATGACGAAACATAGAGGCCGCAGAATTATGAGGACTACCAGATCCTGGTGGAACCTAAGCGATCCATGATATCACGACAGGCCCTATGGGAGTCAATATCCCGAATAAAATTGCAAAATCATATTGTCCCAATCTGTGTCCCATTTTCAGTTTTTGAAGATGAAATTTCGAGGACCTAAATATTACAGTTTTGATTGATTTTTTTCACCCGCAACCAATTAAAAAGTCAACAATAGATACCAAATGGCACGATTGAGGTGCTGGAAGTTTGATTTCGGTCGGAGGAAGCCCACAGCAGAAGCTTAACAAAACAAAAAGTTGTATTTTCAAAATCCTGTCCCATTTTCAAATATGAAATTTTCTGAACACAAATTTGACAAATTGGATGAATTTGTTGCCCAGAAACCAATTAGTCAGTTAATTGATGATGGTATAAAACCAAATTAAGGTACTGAGGGTCAAAATCCCGAATAAAATTGCAAAATAATATCGTCCCAATCTGTGTCCCATTTTCAGTTTTTGAAGATGAAATTTCGAGGACCGAAATTTTACAGTTTTGATTAATTTTTTCACCCGCAACCAATTAATAAGTCAACAGTAGATACCAAATGGCACGATTGAGGTGCTGGAAGTTTGATTTCGGTCGGAGGAAGTCCACAGCAGAAAGCTTAACAAAACAAAAAGTTGTATTTTCAAAATCATGTCCCATTTTCAAATATGAAATTTTCTGAACTGTAAAATGTCGGTCCTGGAAATTTCATCTTCAAAACGTGACAGTCGAGTGTAGAGTGATTAATCATCATCCTTTTTTACAACCACTTGTCAGAGAAAACGTTAATTTAGAGTTTTATGTTAGTCGTTCTACGGGCGTGTTTAGGGCAGGCATAGTTTCTTAGGGTCGGCGTTGACTTAGCCAGTTAGCCTTACGATTGAAGTAACTATTTGCAATGGCATTGCGTTAGTCGTGTTTCCTGTTGTTGGACTCGAAACCTGATTCACGTGGTTCTGCCAATTCCTCCCAAACTCCCTCACATCCCCCCTCAACAGCTCTCGGATGAAGAAAGCAAACTTCTCGTTGGTGTAGAAATAAATAACGGGGTTTGCCACGATGTTGATAGCTATTGACATGATGGTGGCTATCCTCAGTCCGATAAACACCTGACTGCTCGGTGTGGGTATGGTATTTGTTGCTGATAAACCCTTCAATATCCACAGTGCCATACAGGGAATATAACTCACCAGAAATGTCCAACAAACTATCGATACAGTTTTTACCGCACGGAATCGTCGAAGGTGTCCAGCTTTCCCCATAAAAGCAAGAATTAGGACGTTTGCTAGGATGATAGCGATAAGCGGGAGAAAGGTTTGGATAAATCCTCGGTATGGTATGAATTTAGCTGAAGAGCTCTTTATCTGCGTCACATCAATCTCGCAATCAAACATTGATGGCTCAAACTTGAGCAGTGGCCCGTCAATCAGCACAGTTTCCAGAGTATACGTGAGGGGGAAATACACGCAAATAAGGATAAGGAGGTTCCTCATTACGGTGGTAGGGATGCCGCCTCGGAGTGGTTTCCATATAAGATATGCTCTGTGACAGGACAGCAGTGCTATGAAGTTCTGCTCACACGGGATCTCAGTCCACCTCATGAGTGTGGAATAACAAAACTTCGTTCCTAAAACCCACCTCCCACCCAGAAGAGTGGTAAGTCGAGGGAAGTAGAACACCACAACACATGCAAGGTCAGCAAATGCCACACTCAGTAGGGCTAGAACACTTCTCTTCTCCATTTTGAGGGCGTTGTGCTTCCATACTCCGTAGATGACGAGGGAGTTTCCAATTCCACCAAGAATTATTATTAAGATGAAGTATATGCTGAGTGAGGTTGAGAGTATCGAGTATTCAGTGCTGCTAAGCCCGAGAGCATCAGCCAATACAGTTAGGTTTGTAAAACTCTCGTCGTTTACTTTCATTGTTTAGACTTACTTTTAATCCTATGTTATGATGTGTGTCAGAAAGATATAAAAATCAAGTATCTAATTATACCGTTACTGTTAGATTTACGTTACTCTGTCGAGCAAAGTACAGCAGCACAATGCTGCTTAGATCAAAAATAAAATATTTTAAAACAAAAACTGAACCACAAATAGCAGATTTCATGAATGTTCTAAATAGCAAGGCTGATTACTGGTAGTTATATGCTGGACTGAGCATGCTGCATGTGGTCGTGATAACAGGTGTTCAAGTGGTTTGTAGCTATTATAAATGATTGTCATAATATTAAGATCTAAGATCATGAACAATTATCGCCTTACTGCGAGGGTGTTGGGCGATTTTGAGGGATTTTGAGGGATTCCTCAAGGGATCCAACTGTTTATGTCTTTACAAACACGTGTCAGACCGAGCTCATTTAACATCATTAGTCCTTAGTCTCATACTTATGATCTGAATCTCTTAAAAGAGAAAAATTTCAAAATCTTATGGATCCAAATGGAACCACATGGTGTCGGATGAAGTAATATTCTGGATCATTAAGGTCTTTTCAAATCACGTAAGCAACGGTTCATACACACTACAACTACACAGCAGCCGTTAAACGGTCTCGTGATCTAGATTGATCTATTTACAGATGATTTGCACCTGATGTCATTCTTGCACTTTCGAGTACCAGTATTGTATTAGATAACAAAGTTGATAATTAAATAATGCTATTTTAAAGACTATATTTTAATAAAGGGAATAAACTACTGGAGAGTGGAGACAGTGAAGCAATGCTTCGAGCGCGAGGTATGGAGGTACGAGGTGACGAAAGTAGAGTATAGAGCTGTTGTAACGAAAATATGAGGTCAACAATGGTATAGGTTTCATCATTTTGACGGTAAAATATCTCATTATATATCTAAAATCTCATTTAATATTTACATAATATCATTCGAAGCATGAACTTACGTCAACGCTAGGTGCTTCAGATTTCTGTTCAGACTCACGAATCAAATCTCAAAAATATCAAGGCATAATGAGTATAAACTAATAGTAGAGGCAGAAGTAACTGCCCTCTCCCTTATTTCCTCTCCCTTTCCTTTTTCTCTCCCACTGATCCTTCCCCTTAAAAATTATATCCTTTATCTTTCATCAATAAACAAATACATGATTAATATTCTCGTATGACGTCTCACGGAGGAGCACTACCAAGGTGAGAATATTGTTCATCTAAACTAGGTTCAGACACAGTACTCAGACTAGAGCCACTGTCAGACTGGTCCCTTATCTCCCCTCCACCACCCGCAGAATTTGACGACACGCTGTCTGACCCTGATCTAGAGCGACTGAATTGTCTGCGAACTTGCCTCACAATGTGCTGTGGTATGGATTCTATACTGAGTCTCAGCGCTGTCATGGGTCCTGTGCAGGTTGGATCCCTTTCTTGGGTAAAGTGGGATAATAGTGGGTTTGATATGATGGCTGTAGGGAAGTCAGCTGTTTGGAAGTCAGCTGTAGGTGATGAACTCGAGTTTAAGATCCTTTCTTGTGCTTCTGTTCCAGTTATATTAGGAATTATCTGGAAAAATATGGTTAAATTGGTAAACTTATCGTGGCCAATAATTTTATGAACAATATACCCACAAAACAAATTAGTTTCATAATAGTCATATTTTTAAAATCTTATCATCCATAATTTCATTTCACAGTTTGTTTTTGATTTGCAATTTGCGGAACAGAAAGCGCACCATGTAAAAGTTCATCTGTTTGACGAGGTCCTCGATTGCTTTATCATAAACCTCTTCGTCTGATTCAGCCTTCGTGAAATCAACGTACAGTAAGTTAGATCTAAGAAATCCAAGCCAGCCTGAGAAGAAGAACTCTGTCATATCTCTAAGTCGGTATTACTTATTTCCAAAAGAAATTAACTTTACTTAATCTCTTAACTCTTTGGGATCGATTCAAAATCACAATTATCATAATTATGTGATAGAATTACACAACGTTGGCGTTGCATTATTTGATTCATTATTATATGTTTAATACCAGTCGGTTTATAAGGTTCTCCTCCCCCCACTCTCTCCTGCAACAAACACGGTATAATCCTGACACTCGTATTGTCCGCGTACGTCAACTCCTTCTCCCCATTAGACGACCTCTCGTAGCCCTCAGTCATGAAGCACACTAGAGCACTGCTCTTCTCGATGCTCTGTGCCATGCTGGCGAATATGTTACCTCCGCTTATACCTGGTGTGTGTGTGTTAAGTGCCATGCTGGCGAATATGTTACCTCCGCTTATACCTGGTATGTGTGTGTGTTAAGTGCCATGCTGGCGAATATGTTACCTCCGCTTATACCTGGTGTGTGTGTGTTAAGTGCCATGCTGGCGAATATGTTACCTCCGCTTATACCTGGTATGTGTGTGTTAAGTGCAATGCTGGCGAATATGTTACCTCCGCTTATACCTGGTATGTGTGTGTGTTAAGTGCCATACTGGCGAATATGTTACCTCCGCTTATACCTGGTATGTGTGTGTTAAGTGCCATGCTGGCGAATATGTTACCTCCGCTTATACCTGGTGTGTGTGTGTGTTAAGTGCCATGCTGGCGAATATGTTACCTCCGCTTATACCTGGTATGTGTGTGTGTTAAGTGCCATACTGGCGAATATGTTACCTCCGCTTATACCTGGTATGTGTGTGTTAAGTGCCATGCTGGCGAATATGTTACCTCCGCTTATACCTGGTATGTGTGTGTGTTAAGTGCCATACTGGCGAATATGTTACCTCCGCTTATACCTGGTATGTGTGTGTTAAGTGCCATGCTGGCGAATATGTTACCTCCGCTTATACCTGGTATGTGTGTGTGTTAAGTGCCATGCTGGCGAATATGTTACCTCCGCTTATACCTGGTATGTGTGTGTTAAGTGCCATGCTGGCGAATATGTTACCTCCGCTTATACCTGGTGTGTGTGTGTTAAGTGCCATGCTGGCGAATATGTTACCTCCGCTTATACCTGGTGTGTGTGTGTGTGTTAAGTGCCATGCTGGCGAATATGTTACCTCCGCTTATACCTGGTGTGTGTGTGTTAAGTGCCATGCTGGCGAATATGTTACCTCCGCTTATACCTGGTATGTGTGTGTTAAGTGCCATGCTGGCGAATATGTTACCTCCGCTTATACCTGGTATGTGTGTGTGTTAAGTGCCATGCTGGCGAATATGTTACCTCCGCTTATACCTGGTGTGTGTGTGTTAAGTGCCATGCTGGCGAATATGTTACCTCCGCTTATACCTGGTATGTGTGTGTTAAGTGCCATGCTGGCGAATATGTTACCTCCGCTTATACCTGGTGTGTGTGTGTGTTAAGTGCCATGCTGGCGAATATGTTACCTCCGCTTATACCTGGTGTGTGTGTGTGTTAAGTGCCATGCTGGCGAATATGTTACCTCCGCTTATACCTGGTGTGTGTGTGTGTTAAGTGCCATGCTGGCGAATATGTTACCTCCGCTTATACCTGGTGTGTGTGTGTTAAGTGCCATGCTGGCGAATATGTTACCTCCGCTTATACCTGGTATGTGTGTGTTAAGTGCCATGCTGGCGAATATGTTACCTCCGCTTATACCTGGTGTGTGTGTGTTAAGTGCCATGCTGGCGAATATGTTACCTCCGCTTATACCTGGTGTGTATGTGTGTTAAGTGCCATGCTGGCGAATATGTTACCTCCGCTTATACCTGGTATGTGTGTGTTAAGTGCCATGCTGGCGAATATGTTACCTCCGCTTATACCTGGTATGTGTGTGTGTTAAGTGCCATGCTGGCGAATATGTTACCTCCGCTTATACCTGGTATGTCTGTGTTAAGTGCCATGCTGGCGAATATGTTACCTCCGCTTATACCTGGTATGTGTGTGTTAAGTGCCATGCTGGCGAATATGTTACCTCCGCTTATACCTGGTGTGTGTGTGTTAAGTGCCATGCTGGCGAATATGTTACCTCCGCTTATACCTGGTGTGTGTGTGTTAAGTGCCATGCTGGCGAATATGTTACCTCCGCTTATACCTGGTATGTGTGTGTGTTAAGTGCCATGCTGGCGAATATGTTACCTCCGCTTATACCTGGTATGTGTGTGTGTTAAGTGCCATGCTGGCGAATATGTTACCTCCGCTTATACCTGGTATGTGTGTGTTAAGTGCCATGCTGGCGAATATGTTACCTCCGCTTATACCTGGTGTGTGTGTGTTAAGTGCCATGCTGGCGAATATGTTACCTCCGCTTATACCTGGTGTGTGTGTGTTAAGTGCCATGCTGGCGAATATGTTACCTCCGCTTATACCTGGTATGTGTGTACTGTGTGTTAAGTGCCATGCTGGCGAATATGTTACCTCCGCTTATACCTGGTATGTGTGTGTTAAGTGCCATGCTGGCGAATATGTTACCTCCGCTTATACCTGGTATGTGTGTGTTAAGTGCCATGCTGGCGAATATGTTACCTCCGCTTATACCTGGTGTATGTGTGTTAAGTGCCATGCTGGCGAATATGTTACCTCCGCTTATACCTGGTATGTGTGTGTGTTAAGTGCCATGCTGGCGAATATGTTACCTCCGCTTATACCTGGTATGTGTGTGTTAAGTGCCATGCTGGCGAATATGTTACCTCCGCTTATACCTGGTATGTGTGTGTTAAGTGCCATGCTGGCGAATATGTTACCTCCGCTTATACCTGGTGTATGTGTGTTAAGTGCCATGCTGGCGAATATGTTACCTCCGCTTATACCTGGTGTGTGTGTGTTAAGTGCCATGCTGGCGAATATGTTACCTCCGCTTATACCTGGTATGTGTGTGTTAAGTGCCATGCTGGCGAATATGTTACCTCCGCTTATACCTGGTGTGTGTGTGTTAAGTGCCATGCTGGCGAATATGTTACCTCCGCTTATACCTGGTATGTGTGTGTTAAGTGCCATGCTGGCGAATATGTTACCTCCGCTTATACCTGGTGTGTGTGTGTTAAGTGCCATGCTGGCGAATATGTTACCTCCGCTTATACCTGGTGTGTGTGTGTTAAGTGCCATGCTGGCGAATATGTTACCTCCGCTTATACCTGGTATGTGTGTGTTAAGTGCCATGCTGGCGAATATGTTACCTCCGCTTATACCTGGTGTGTGTGTGTTAAGTGCCATGCTGGCGAATATGTTACCTCCGCTTATACCTGGTGTGTGTGTGTGTTTTAATACTTTCAACACGACTATTTAACAAATAATTTGAGGAAGTTCTCTAAAGATGATATTTTATTCGAAGAATTTAAGAGCCTAAAGTTAAACTGTGTATGATTCGCCTCTCCAAACAAATCTAACGTGGTATGTATATGGTCACAGATAAGTAGGTGTTATCAGCTGAATTAAGTGCGGTAGAAAATACCCTACACAAAATACTGCCAGGTGGCGTCTTAGAAGTTTTACTTTTATATATAAAAAACCTTAAGTGAATGAACCATAAAACGGTTAATGTACGGCTCACTTACTAAATCGTTTTGATTTATACCTATTTTTGAGGTGAAATTTATGGATATTGATATAGTAAACCCTTACCTCCCATAATATCCATCCAGACCCGGTACCCTAGTGATGTTAAGCTGTTGTAGACCCTCAGTACTATTTCCTGAGAATCCCACTGGTAGGACAGCATCACGTGCTTCCTTTCCATCTGCCTCATTTCACATTCAGTCCTGCTATCTTCATAGTTTCTACTGGTCACCCTCCTTTTAATCATTGTATTGAGTCTAGTTTATCCAAAAATCTGCAACAATCGAATCTACAACGAATCAAGAAAGGCTTTCTACATAATTAAAGCAAAACAATCGAAGATGTGATAATAATGAACATTCGATTAAAGAGAATTATGAAGGAGTATTATGAAGGAAGAATACTCTAACCGAAACATAAAATTGATTACGTCAAAATTTAAAAAGCAAAGAAAGAGAGAGAGAGAGAGAGAGCTCATGAAGTAATGACTGCCTGTTGCTGTACACATTACGTTACTGGCACAATTACATGCTTATAAAATATCAATGATGTAAGATCGTATTGTTCATGTTAGGCTGTGGAGACAAACAGTAAAATTTCATGTTCTCAAAACTTAAATTAAAGACTGGAATAGCAACTTTTGACTTTGTTAAGCAGGAAAACATAACGGTGTGTGCACAATAAGATAGGAGGGCTTATGAATACTTGGTGATCTGCCCGTTGCTATAGTAGCAGCTTAGTCACAGTATCATATTAGTATGTAGTTTCATTACATGTACCTATTACAGTGCACTGATCATATAACAGTTAAAACACGGCCCAATATAAAAGATAATATGAATTTTCATGTTCAACTTTTAAGTTCGTAATTTGTTAATTTTGTTAGCTGATGTGATAACATCGATGTTAATTTTCCAAGAAAACCAATCCCGGACATTAGGAGCTGACTTGTGTTCTGTAATTTGATTAAGCACGTGATGCCCATATAAGGAGGTACAAACCAATGAACATAATATGGTTATGAGAAGTAGATATGGGTTATTATGTAAAAAGAAATCCAATGGAAAAACTTTTATTTTAATTGTTTTAGGAATTTATGATTTTCTGGAATTAGGATTTTGATTTAATTCTTCTTCATATCACCATCGTAAGAAATATTTTGTTTTTAATTTTATATTTTAGTGGTTTAACACAAATTGATATAACTATATAAGAAAAAAATCAGAGAAACACATAATATACATGTTAACAAAATAATTATTGAAACACAGGAACATCTTGATCTAAAACAGTGGAAATATAAATTGTAACTATATCGGCCAGATACAAAGAGAGACCTTTTCACAAAATCGCGTAAACATAGCTATTAAACAGTGTCTTAGTCCGAATTATCGTTTCTGTAATAAAATATATACAATTACAACGTATAGCAAGTAGGCACTTTAACCAACCCGGTTCTTTTGCGATAGTGTAAACGCGACAACTAGCGCTGGATGGCGACAACCAGCGCTATCCAGCGCTAGTTGTTATCCAGCGCTGGATAACAACTAGCGCTGGATAGCACTAGTTGCCGCCATCCAGCGCTAGTTGTCGCGTTTACACTATCACAAAAGAACCCTAAACCCAAACAAAAATAATTCCATGCAATGAATTAGTCACCTGGTGGAATAGAGCTGAGTAGATTCCTGGCATTGCAGAAATAGGAAGTGCTGGTACCATCATTTCAGCTGGATTTAAGGCGTCGCTTAAATTTCGGATTGTGTCCTGAGAAACGAGCAGCATTATTGATTTACCTTTTTTCAAGTTTTCAATATCCAATTATCTTTAACTGAATTATAAATCATTGGTTGGAATTAAAAATGATGAGCCGTATGAAAAGAAACCTAACCTCTGGAAATACTTATCAAGGGCATCCAAATAAGGGTAAATCTGGCAGGTTGATAATTTTAGCTGGTTGACATCATCATAGCTGTCTGTGTCACACCCGTGTCACACCCGTGTCACACCCGTGTCACATCCGTGTCACAGTTATCTGTGTCACAATTGGGAAAAGGGTACTGATAAGTTATACAGAGATAACCTCTAGTTTTACAACTATAAGTATAACATAAAATACAATCTACCAAAGAATAGACCACTGCAAACGACAGCTTATAAATCTTACTCGATTTTAGAGACCTAGGAGGCTTGAAACACAAAAGAATGACTACTGCAGCACTAGCCACTTCAATTGGTTAAGCAATATATACCTCTTCGACTGATACTGGCTGGATTCTGAAACTGCATCTCGTAACCATGGTGATCAGACAAGCATCGGCAAACTTGTCGCTCATTCAATCTACCACCTTTAGCGGACCGAGATTCAGATATCTTAGTAGGAAAGTTATTAAAGATTTCGGGAGTTTTGGTGGTAGGGAATGGGAGGGGAAGGGGAAGGGGCTGTGGAATTTCTTGCTTAGGGTAGCGGGGAAACCAATTATATGCTCACCCCAGAGATAAATTACTTCCAAATTCAAACGTAAACGACGTCGACAGTGCACAGTAGATTTGTTGTCTTAACCAATCCATATCCATTTAGCTTCCTTGGAAATTCCCACAACGAACCTTGAAAATAATAGGGTATTGTAATTAATCGTGTTGTACGTGAAGCAAAATTTAAGGGAAAACTTCAATAAATGCTATAATGCTGCCATCGAAGTGCACACTCAACCCCTCCCTGCTACTGGAGTATAAAGTCTCAAGATAATAATGTAATTTATTTAGCGAACAGTTAAATCAATGCAATGAAATTCAATAGTCAAATAATGTGTCATCAAAAATAACTATGTATGTTGCAGAGAATAATACTTGAGAACATGGTTGTGTAATATTTAAATATTTAGTTACGTACCTTGATTACAATTTCTCTTTCCAAACTGAATAATGATCATAACTTGACCATACGAACACATGACCTTTGGATTTGTCATGGTATTAAATATTTCTGACTTGTCTTCTTCAATGAGAGAGTTGCTATAAAAACAGGGATTCCTTTTAAAATCTTTATTTCGCATAATGTCGCAAATTTTAATTTACCCATTGAGAATAGATCCACGATATTGTAAAGGTGATGAACGGGAGCCTTCATTTTATCTACTATTTACTGTTTCCAATAAATATTATTTCAATTTGCACTTTCGGATGCAACACGTCCAGTTTGTTTACAAATTTTGTGAAACAAATGTCAGACTGGCAGAGGACGATAAGGAAGGAGTAATCTCTGACAAAGTGCTCCAAGTGCTGTGGATACTGATAACAGGCCGAGACAGCAGCACTGAGATTATAGATCTAGCACTCTCAACTCACATCAAAATACTCAACTACATCTACTCTCATGGTGCTTGTTAATTATTAATAATAACTTAATATTAATATTAGCTTAATAATAATAAAAATTAACTTATTATGTTGTTAGTACAGTATTTAATTAAGTCCGTTAGTCCGTACTCCGTAACTGTTTTCTATCACCTCAATTTGGTGAGGTAAGTCATCTATTTAACTGGGTCAACACTAGTTGATCTTGTTTACTGATGAGGATGTTTTTGCAAACCAGCCGTCATTGGTAGAGTAGTTCCTCCACCACTTGTGGTGACATCATTGTAACTTGGCGGTGGGAGCCGTGGGAGGTCAATGACATCATTGTAACTTGGCGGAGAGTGGTCAGATAAGGTAGATATCTTAGCTCCAACGGTTCCGTGTGGTGGGTAGATTCCACCGGTTGCGGCAGGTGGGTAGGTGCCACCGGTTGCAGGTGATGAGTGGGTACCTCCGGTTGATGATGATGAATAGGTACCTCTGGTTGCAGGTGATGGGTAAGTACCTCCGGTTGCAGGTGATGAGTGGGTACCACCGGTTGCAGGTGATGAGTGGGTACCACCGGTTGCAGGTGATGAGTGGGTACCACCGGTTGCAGGTGATGAGTGGGTACCACCGGTTGCAGGTGATGAGTGGGTTTCACCGGTTGCAGGTGATGAGTGGGTACCACCGGTTGCAGGTGATGAGTGGGTACCACCGGTTGCAGGTGATGAGTAGGTACCTCTGGTTGCAGGTAATGGGTATGAGTAGGTGCTCCAGGTGCCACTGGTTGCAGGTGATGAGTGGGTACCACTGGTTGCAGCTGTTGAGTTGGTGTCCTCCTCGTCCTCCTTATTAACATAATAACATGTGCATACACAACACACCGTCAAAAGAGGACTGCACGCTAATAATATTATATCAAAAGGATTCAGATCATCAGTACCTCTGGTCAATCTAGTTAACTTGATCAATCTGTCGTTCATACAACCAAAAGTAATATTCAGCCTTTCGTAGTAACAGCCATCTGCAACATTGTAGTCTGCTTCTATAAGGTCGTATATTTGACACTGTTCCGCAGCGGAACACATGTTGTAAATTGACGTTGTAACGTTTTCAATTTCTTTACCTGAATTGATAATTAAATCAGATTGGAGTATAATTCTAGTTTTAGAGAAAGATAATGAAGACCTGCACACTAAAAAGATGTTACGCACAGGAAATCGTAACTCGGTAACACTCTTTATAAACATATAAAATATAAATATGTTTATTAACCTACCAAAGCATTCAGGAGTAAGATCGAAGAGCAGAGCTTCATATATGTTGATCTTAGTTTCAGGTTTGCACCTGATCGATAGTTGTTGATGTTCGTCGAACTCAAACTGAGCTACATGGTGTCCTGAAACAGGTTAAAAATTTATTAATCGGGCAGAGATGTTCCAAAAATGAGTTTTTAAGGAATAAGGGCGCCGGGGGGGGGGGGGGGCATTTCCTTCCCCCAAATAGGGCTCAACAATCAACATACATATTGTAAACAATTAAAACCCCGATTTATCGCGGATTTTACACCTAAATTGGGGTATTACTGTAGATAATCACACAGCTGTAGAGTGTAAGCTTGTATTAAGGTAATCAAAACACATGATTGAACGAAAAAGCGAATAAATCTGTAAATAAAATAAAATATGTGTAAATGTTTGACGAACCTTGCACTCTTGCTTTACTTTGACATTCCTGATATACATCTGTTGTAAAGTTAACATTAATCACGACGCTTGTATTCTCCCATCTAAACGTTGTGCTATTATGTTTGTAACATCCGATGTATTCTGTCGTCTTCTTCTTCGGATCAGCTGATTCTGATAGAATCATGTGACATATCACAGATAAGATCGCTGCTCTGATTTCCATGAAATCCCTACAGACGCTCTAAAATTCATGTATGGGTGACTTATTTGTGCATTACTAATAGACAATAGTTCGAAGACGGGCATAATGCTATCATAGAATGAAAAAATTAACATCTAAAAGATTTTAAGTTATTTAATTTTAAACTTTAAAACTTCACAACTATACTGGCTGGCTTAAGATATCCAATAGGTTTTCACAATGTCAAGTTTTATTTCCTTTCAGAGCCCCTTAAGAGACGAAATTTCAACTCATTGGAAAGTTGCCTAAAATTAATCTAATCATAGGTCAGGATCAAATGAGAAGCAAGAATGTGATTCATTTTTGATACAAGAGAAACGCCATTTTCGGACGTGAGGAGACTTAGGACTCCTCCAACTACATTAAATCAATTCCTTCTGTAACGTCCTGAATAAAGATAACTACGAAAACAAAATTTACTAAACACCAAAATTATATTACACACTAATGCAAAGATACAACAAAAGAACAAATAATAATAAATCAAAACAAATATCAACATAATATAACATAATAGCAAAATAACAAAATAACAACAAAACATACGATATTTGAAGAATGACTCAGAAGCGTAAAATATCAAATTTGCTCCTTCATCAAAACAAATTTTCAAAATTTTAATTTTACAGAAAAAAATATAATATTTACAGAAAGAATTGTTACAGAAAAGGGCAATTAGATAAAAATGTTAGTTTTTAAAACCTCCCAAAACTTATATGTACACGGATGTTTATATTAGCCTCTATGAACTTTTTAACATATTTATTTAAGACATCATTATTAAAATTCTGATACAATAATTTGATTTTAATAGATTTCACATCTTTAATAAATCTTCTAAATTCGTATTTACATTACATAGTCTAAGCAATTGTGAATAGATGTGAGATTCTAAGCGATACATTTTGGAATCTCACTTTTTCATCTCTCACTTTCTAATCCTTGACGTTAGGTAATTATAAACAAGTTTATTTTATTTGGCGCAGAATGTCAGACCTCTAAACAGAGATAAGCCTGGCGGAAATTATGGACTTTTAATTATAATTTGGGGCCGGAGATGTGATGTTACAAAGGTTTGATATGGCGGTTAAAGTCTCAAGATAATAATGTACTTTATTTAGCGGACAGTTAAATCAATGCAATGAAATTCAATAGTCAAATAATGTGTCATCAAAAATAACTATTTATGTTGCAGAGAATAATAATTGAGAACATGGTTGTATAATATTTAGTTACGTACCTTGATTACAATTTCTCTTTCCAAACTGAATAATTATCATAACTTGACCATACGAACACATGACCTTTGGATTTGTCATGGTATTAAATATTTCTGACTTGTGTTCTGCAATGAGAGAGTTGCTATAAAAACAGGGATTATTATCCATTTACAATCTTTATTTCGACAGTGCAAAGTATAGCAAATTTTAATTTACACAATTAGAATAGATCCACGATATTTGTAAAGGTGATGAACGGGAGCCTTCATTTTATCTACTATTTGTACTGTTTCCAATAAATATTATTTCAATTTGCCCCTTCTGATGCAACACGTCGAGTTTGTGTACAAATTTGGTGAAACAAATGTCAGACTGGCAGAGGACGATATGGAAGGAGTAATCTCTGACAAAGTGCTCCAAGTGCTGTGGATACTGATAACAGGCCGAGTCAGCAGCACTGAGATTATAGATCTAGCACTCTCAACTCACATCAAAATACTCAACTACATCTACTCTCATGGTGCTTGTTAATTATTAATAATAACTTAATATTAATATCAGCTTAATAATAATAAAAAATTAACTTATTATTTTGTTAACAGTATTTAATTAAGTCCGTTAGTTCGTACTCTGTAACTGTTTTCTATCACCTCATCTGGGTCAACACTGGTTGATCTTGTTTACTGATGAGGATGTTTTTGCAAACCAGCCGCCATTGGTTGAGTAGTTCCTCCACCACTTGTGGTGACATCATTGTAACTTGGCGGTGGGAGGTCATTGTAACTTTGTGGTGAGTGGTCAGATAAGTTAGATATCCTACCTCCAACGGTTCCGTGTGGTGGGTAGATTTCACTGGTTGCGGCTGGTGGGTAGGTATCACTAGTTGCGGCTGTTGAGTAGGTGCCACTGAATGCAGCTGGTGGGTAGGTGCCACTAGTTGCGGCTGGTGGGTAGGTGCCTCTAGTTGCGGCTGGTGGGTAGGTGCCACCGGTTGCGGATGTTGAGTAGGTGCCACTGGTTGTGGCTGGTGGGTAGGTGCCACTAGTTGCAGCTGGTGGGTAGGTGCCACTAGTTGCGGCTGGTGGGTAGGTGCCAACGGTTTCGGCTGTTGGGTTGGTGCCACTGAATGCGGCTGGTGGGTAGGTGCCACCGGTCGCGGGTGGTGGGTACTGGGTAGGTGCCACTGAATCCGGCTGGTGGGTAGGTGCCAAGGGTTTCGGGTGGTGGGTAGGTGCCACTGTTTACAGCTGTTTGTTTGGTGACCTTGTATATCATATACCATATAAATATAAAGGCCAACGCAAATATAACCAAGAAAACGATCACGAATGTAAAAGCTTCAATGTCGGCCCCAGTACCTCTGGTCAATCTAGTTAACTTGATCAATCTGTCGTTTATACAACCAAAAGTAATATTCAGCCTTTCGTAATAACAGCCATCTGCAACATTGTAGTCTGCTTCTATACGGTCGTATACTTGACACTGTTCCGCAGCGGAACACATGTTGTAAATTGACGTTGTAACGTTTTCAATTACTTTACCTGAATCGTTAGATGAATGAGCGATAATGAGCGTATAATTCTACTTTTAGAGAAAGATAATGAAAACCTCCTCATTAAACAACAAGAATTTCGCCGCGGTAACACCACGCACGAAAAAATCACGCACAGGAATTTTTAACTCTGTAACTCTGTTTATAATTATAATAATAATATGTTTATTAACCTACCAGAGCATTCGGGAGTAAGATCGAAGAACAGAGCTTCATATATGTGGATCTTGGTTTTAGGTCTGCACCTGATCGATAGTTGTTGATGTTCTTCGAACTCAAACTGAGCTACATGGTGTTCTGAAACAGGTTAAAATTCATTAATCAGGCAGAGATGTTCCAAAAATGAGTTCTTAAGGGTCAGCTAAGGCTTGGGTGGCCTGCCAACAGATGAAGATGATATGGAAGTCTGGTATGCGTCAAGGTACGACTGTTCCTGGCTACAGTCGAGTCCTTCTATATGGCTTTGAAACATGGACTGTCAGCCAGACCCTCACAAAGCGTATTATATCTTTATATACATATAATATTACATTATTTAAAGTACGCCCATCCAATCACTTTTGAGAAGTATGCTGAGGCAATTAACGAGTCATTTAGTGGGAACAAATACATAAGTTCGATAGGACAAGGTATTGTGACTCCTCTACAGAAGCCCGGTAAACCTAAGGGTCCCCTCACAAGCCTTAGACCACTTACACTGTTAAACGGATCGAGGAAGATGCTCACTCAAATTGCCTTAAAACGGGTTGAGAGTAGAATTGATAACTACACCATGCCATGACAGAGTGCTTACAAGAGAGGTAGGAGCTGCTCTGACATTGTGTGGGCTCAGAGAATGCTCATATCTGTTGTAATGAGGAAGAAATGGACATTTAGCAAAATGGGTATTGATATGAGTAGAGCTTTTGATACCGTGAAAAGGGACACTATCATCAATGTTTTGAAAGATGCTGGTTGTTCGGAGGACGACATTCGTTTAGTTCAATACCTTCTATCGAATACTCTCCTTAGAGTTCGTGTTAACTCCTCACTGTCGGAAGAGTTTGAAAGTTTACTCGGAGCCTTTCAAGGTGACAGTTTATCTGGAAAGCTATTCACACTTATTCTTGCAGCAGCCTTACACCACCTCAGAGCTGTATCTGGGAGACCAAACCCACCAGTATCAGAACTAGGTTTTCCAACTGAGTGGGAATATTCAGACGATTGTGACTTTGCTGACGAGGACATCGAGAAACTGAGAATTTTCCTTCCTACAGTGAAGGAGATTCTCAAAGACTGGAACCTCCAAGTAAATGAAAGTAAAACTGAATTCAGTACCTTCTACCTAGCGACAAAATCTGATAAAGATACAAACGGTCAGCCATTAGCTTATAACGAACCATGGAGAAGTAACAAGTCACTAGGTTCCTTACTGTGTACTGAGAAGGACATTCAAAGAAGAAGAATCCTAGCTGAGATTGCTTTTAAGAACTTTGAAAAAGTTTGGCTGTCTGGTAAGAAAATATCCCTTGAAAGAAAGCTGAGGTTATACGATGCTCAAGTTGTATCTGTATTGATTTACAACTCAAATAGTTGGAGTCCTAAGAAAGCAACCATGGAGAAAATGGACACACTCCATCGTAGACACCTCAGGTCCATTTTAAACATCAAATGGCCTAAAGGTATGATAAGCAACAAAGCATTGTATGAAAGGTACAAAGTTGAAAAGTTATCCAAGCGTATTGAACACCAGCGGTGGAAAATGTTTGGACACATTCTCAGGAGTATGGAGAACACCCCAGCCCAAACGGCTCTCTCATTTGCTATTGAATCAGATAATTTATTCATTGGAAGATTGGGGAGACCTAGAATGAACTTGTTATCGGTTTTAAGAAGTGATTTAAATAGTAGAAGTTTGCAAATGGACAACTTGTATGAATTGAACGAAATTAAAGATATAGCTGCATGCAACAGATGTTGGGAAAATCTTTTTCAAGGGTACAGTTTACCGCATTAAGGTATTTTTAAGAATCATTTTTGTCGGTAAGATCCTGTTTTTATAATAATAATAATATTTAAATATAATAAGGATGTTATACGAGAATGGCACTTAACATAGACTGGTCAGAGCGGCAGACTAGTGCATAGGTGCAGATTTCGTTTTGAGGTGAACTTTTAAGTTCCCGAGAAATTTTCTTAAGTTTGCTTTTTTTTCCTCCTCGGGCACATTCGTAACCTACGGGCCAGGTAAACCTA